TCTGTCAGGAAGTTCTTCCTAATGTTTAGCTGAAAACTCTTCTGATTTAATTTCAACCGGTTGGTTCTGGTCTGACCTCCTGGGGCAACGGAGAACAACTCCGTGCCACATGACAGCCCTTCAAGTTGGTGATCCTATCCCCTCTCAGTCGTCTCCTCTCCAGGCTAAACAGACCCAGCGCCTTCAAACTTTCCTTGTAGGGCTTGGTCTCCAGACCCTCACCCTCTTTGCTGCCCTCCTCTGGACACGTTCCAGCTTGTCTATATTCTCCTTAAACTGTGCTGCCCAAAACTGAACACTGTAGGTGAGGCCTCACCAGAGCAAAGTGGTACCATCACTTCACGTGATCTGGACACTCTACTTCTGTTGATGCAGCCCAAAATCGCATTTGCCTTTTTAGCAACCACACCACACGGCTGACTTATGGCGACCCCTCACAGAGTTTTCAAGGCAAGAGATGTTCAGAGGTTTGCTATTGCCCTCCTCCATGTCATCATGACCCTGGTATTCCTTGGAGGTCTCCCACCCAAATACTGGCCAAGGCCAACCCTGCTTAGCTTCCGAGATCTGACGTGATCAGGACAGCATGGGCCATCCAGCTCAGGGTACTGAGAGGGCTAGCTCCCTACAAACCTTCCCCGCCCTATGCGTCCTCCCCTGCATGGAGGCGAAGCAATCTGTCCTACAGCTCTTGTTTTCTACACAGGACCTACCACAGTGGATAACACAGACACAGCCGTCTGGAGAAAATACAACATTCTGCAAAGTGCAGGATACGTTACCTGTGTTACTCCAGGTGTTCACCTGCACAGGAACAACACACAAATTCTTTTCCTACAGTATCTGAAAATGGGAGCAGCGACTCACGAAAGCCCCTCCCACTGCCACAAGTTCCGTTAGTCTTTAAGGTGGTCACTGGACTCTGGCTCTTTTCTGCTGCTGCCGACAGACTAACAAGGCTACCCATCTCGCTCCTTTCCCCACGAAGACATTGCAGTTCCTCCATACCGACAGGCAAAGGAGGTCTACGGAGAGAGAATTCTGTGCAGTGGGAAGCTGCCCCCAAAGTAGCTCCTGAATCAATGCAAACGTAGCTCCAAGGCAGGAAGGGAAAACAAGGTGTCAAATGGGCAAGCTCTGTTTTTAAGTCAGTTTTAAAAACCTACTTGAAAACTGCTATTTACAGCAGAAATCCATTTAATTCAGCACACGCCAATCTACAGGAAACACAAGCGTCCAGCTTGAAACCTCCCCCATCCAAGGAGGTGCACCACACCAGGCAGAGGCAACTTCCTTTCCAAGTGGAGCTAAACATTTTGGCATACGCCACGGAGCTTGCAGTGACTCCATTTCAAGCCGCGGGAGAGACCAGGAAGCAGGCAGGGAGGTGAATGCTGATCCGTGTGCTGAATCCCACAATCTGTCGGCATGGCTGGAACGATATGCAACTGCAATGATGAGCAGGTTTTCCTGGTGAATGAGAACCCCCCCTCCCCAATATCCTGAGCAAGAACCACCAGAGGAGGAGAAGGGATGTCAAGAAATTAGGCACAGGAATGTCTTTTTGCACGCGCACACACAAAAGTGTAAGAAA